TGTCTGGTAGGCAGGGATCGTTCAGGGATGTCCTGTGAGACAGCTTTCACGTAAAGAGTGATGAGAAGCAATTTTGTTCACCTGCTTTGTAAAGAATAAATTTCCATTTTGTAGATTACAAAACCCTCATTTTTCTTTGTGCTTTCGATGTTTGCTGAGAAAACCTTGCTTTATCAACATAGGAAATATTAACAGCCATTTTCAAGAGAGTCTTTGGTGAATGACTACTTTCAATGAAAAGTTGAATTATACTTTCTTGAACACTTTAAACTGCATTTGTGAATATCATGTTGTCATTGTCCCTTTAAAGTACTTCTTAGCAAAAATTACCCAGATTGTCCCCATGCTTCTAGGGAGCCTACCTGAATGTTGTCCCAACAACCGAGATGGGCAGCTCGAGAGTCAGTAAGGATAACACGGCAGGGAACATTAGATTTGTTCAGATTACTGACTTCTTAATCAGCCAAGAAAAAGAAAGGAATGAAGAAAGCCAGCTAAGCTATCTAGAGAGGACAGTAGGGGAAAGTCGATGAATAGATAGAAGCCAGCATCAGCCCTGCCTTTCTGATGAGCTGCATCTCTCAGCGCATCCAGACGTGGGGAGGGGAGGGGAGGTGGCCATGTTTGGTGTGATCCCAAGAATCCCTGCAGCAGGAGGGAGTGGCCTCTGGAGAATTCACCACCAGACAGTGAGTGCTACTGGCCGCTGATGTCACCAGAGCAGATGCCGGATCCTCATGCACTGTGCCTCCTGGCGGAAACTCTCACCACTGCCTATCGTGGAGGTGAAAAATAAATCCCTTTCATTTATTTTCATTTTATTTGAAAGGGGTGAGAGAGAGAGAGCACTTCTGTCCACTGGTTCACTTCCCAAATCACAAGTCTTATTTACTCAGCTACCTGTTTTAAAGTAGATCCACAGACAAATTATCTTAAATATTATAAATGATTAAAATAACAAATATGCCTAGATTTGTCTAACTACAAATTGTGTTGTAATTCACGTTAGGGATTCATTTCTCAAGCATTTCTCTACTTCATTCCTGGGGTTAAAGATGCTAACCTACAAAGGAAACAACTATGAAAGCCCATGCAGTTGCGACCTTACCTTCCCAAGCAGTGCTGGTGTTGTCTTCGCAGCAGATGGAGGAGTCTCACTGACTAGCAAGACCTTGACTGAGATGCCAGCTGGATCCTGGCCCAGGACATGGAGGGGACAGCCTGAGTGCCCTTTGGAATTGCTCCAAAGGGGGTTGGTAACCGGGTCTGTGAAGCAAAGCCCTGGCATTAATTTCTTTCTGAAAGTTTGTAACTTCCAACAAGAGAGTAACTAATGCCCTTCAGTGCTTCAGTTTGGGTTTTTTTTTTTTTTTTTTTTTCTTTTTTAGAAGATACTGAAATGGCTTTCTGTCTTGTTCTAAATACCTTTAAACTTGAGAAAACTTTCCATCTCTCTCCTAGGGCTTTGTCCAACTCTGAAAAAGGAGGCCATTCTAATGAAGCCTACTCATCTGACTGTATTAGCAACTTTTCATCACCACCACACAATACCTGAGAATACTAACTTTGTAAAGAGAAAGGCTTATTTAGCCCCTAGTTTTGGAGGTTCAAGTTCAAAAGTGGGCAGCCCCACTGGTTGGGCCTCTGATAAGAGTGGCAGGGTGTATCAGGGAGGAAGGATCACATGGCAAGCCAGGAAGTAGAGAGAGCAGTTGAGCCCATCTCGTAACAACCCTTGGCCCCAGTGGCCCAAGAACCTACCATGAGGCCCAGCTCCTAATAACTGTAGTTGGATTGAATTTCCAGCCTCTTTGTACCATTAACTTATGACTTCTGGGGTTTAAATGTCTGTATGAGTTTGGGATCAAGTCCTGCTCAAACCATAGCACAACATTTCTAGATCCCCCTGATACATGTGAGCCTAACTCTGGGTTATAGCTCGCTGGTGGGCCCTGAGTCAGTGGGTGAGTCACAGTCAGCATTTAAACATATCATCATTTCCTTGGAAAATATCATAAGGCATTGTAAATCATAAGGATAAACATTATTTTTTGAAACTTTGGGTTCATTAAATGTCTATCAGTGTAAATGAATTTCTTATTATAGTCACTGTCAAAAATTTTGAAAACTGCCACTTCCGTGTGAGATGGGGAAACCTGAGAGAGCCCCACACGTGAACAATAGCTGGAATTAATGATAAACTCATAGTGAGGAGGGAGGCCCCAAACAGAACAAACAGTAAAACACAGCCTAGTTCAAACAAACGTTAATAGCTTTAAAAATAGGGCGTGTGTGGGGGCCAGTGTTGTGGCCTAGGAGTGCCAGTTTGAGTCCCAGTACTAGGCTTCAGATGCAGCTTCCTTCTAATGTACCTGAGAAGACAGCTGGAGATGGCCCAAGTACTTGGGTCTCTGCATCCCATGTGGGAGACCAGGATGGAGTTCCTGGCCCCTGATTTAAATCTGGCCCAACCCTGGCTGTTGTAGCCATTTGGGGACTGAATCAGTAAATGGATTGCTCTCTTTTTCTCTCTTGCTCTGCCTTTCAAATAAATAAATCTTGAAAAAACAAAAGAGCATGTGGTGGCCCCTTACTGGAGAAACAAATTATTTTCCGTTGAAGACATGGCTGTTGGCATTGTGGATTTTCGTTATGTCTCCTTCTCTGCGCTGCTTGTTCACCATTTGTTCCCCTTTGGTAGTGCAGTGCTTGTCCCAGTGTAGGGAATCCATAAATAAGTATTTGTTGGATAAAAATACTAGTAATTGGACCTCACACTTCAAAAGACCTAAGGAGAGGAGTCTGGGAATCTATAAGTTAGAAGTTTTCCAGGCAGTCAACCTGGTGGCAGTTGCAGATCGTAGTTTAAGAAGGATGCAACTGGGTGGGGGCCGGTGCCGTGGCTCACTTGGTTAATCCTCCGCCTGCAGCACCACTGGCATCCCATATGGGTGCCAGGTTCTAGTCCTGGTTGCTCCTCTTCTAGTCCAGCTCTCTGCTGTGGCCCAGGAAGGCAGTGGAGGATGGCCCAAATGTTTGGGCTCCTGCACACACACGGGAGACCAGGAGGAAGCACTTGGCTCCTGGCTTTGGATTGGTGTAACTCCGGCCATAGCGGCCATTTGGGGGAGTGAACCAACAGAAGGAAGACCTTTCTCTCTCACTCTCTCTCACTGTCTAACTATCTGTCAAAAAAAAAAAAAAAAAAAAAAAAGGCGGCTGCAACTGGGGCTAGGAGTTTGGCCTGGTGGTTAAGGTGCTGCTTTAGATGTTTTCATCCCATACTGGAGTGCATGGCTTTGGTGACCACCTCACCTCAGCTCTGAACTCCCGCTTCCTGCTGATGCGGAGCAGGGAGGCAGCAGTGACTCCCCAGGTCTCAGGTAATGGAGTTCCTGCCACTCACATTGGAAAAGACTTGGACTCAGTTCCCGGCTCCTGGCCTTGGCCTGGCCTAGCCCAGCTGCTGCAGGCATTTGGGGAGTGAACCTGCTGATGGGAGCCCCCTTTCCTCTCTTTCTCTCTCTCTCTCTCTTCTCCTCCCCCTCCCTCTCAAATAAATACATTTTAAAAAAGAAAAGATGGACTTAGTCTACGTGCTCATTTGACTGGCCCAGGTCACACCTGCATTGAGCATTAAACTTGGTGCTAGACTTGGGTGCCCCTCTTCTGGTGAGAGTTCCACCCACAGCTTCTCCCAGAGTCTTGCATGGAGCTACTTCCCACCGCGCACAGTGCATGACCTCTGGATGGCCAGATGTGGTGCTTCCTCCTTGTCCTCCAAAACCAACTGGCACCTGGTTTTCCTTCTCTCTACCTTGGACTTTCTGTCTATGACAGTGCAGAGGCCAAACTCCTGCCGTTTGTCTGTCTCCTCAGTCTGTCCTGCCTCTGCCAGTCTCCAGCCCTCTTCTGTCTTCCGTTGCTGCTAAGGCCACTGCAGAGCACTCAGCCTGCAGTTGGCCTCTCCTGTGCGTGTTGTGTCCTCTCGAATAGCCTCCATTTTCCTTGGAATTGCATTGGTTCTCCCAGACCAAGGTCAAGTGCCACTCCCACCCAGTTCTCTTACCCAGTTCTCCCTGATTCGCTGTCATTCTTCCCTCTGTGATCTCCCTGCTTGCTGTGACAACACCTGTACCTCGCTTGCATTTTGTGAGCTCTGCCTATGGCGGCTGAGAAAAGGAGTTCATACAGGCAGTGTTGATGTGTCCCTCAGTTCTCTGTGTAGCTTGCCACCAGCGTTTAACAGTTGTCAAAGTTAATAGTACGCTTGGCCAATTGTGTAACACAGGGGTTTCGGCTTCTGAGAGCCTCATGGCCAGGCTGAGAGCTCCCTGTGCCGTCTTGGCCGGTCCAGTCCTAGGTAAGCCCAACAGCAGCAGAAAGGGTCCTGCGGGGTCTGGGTGCTGCTCAGAGTGAAGACTTCTGTTTGTTTCTCTCCAGAGAGGAGGTAGGCAGGTGGCCAAAGCGATAGTGATCTTAAAAGGAAAGGGGGAGCCGATTGGATCTTTAACTCCTGTTTTTAGGAGAAGGGGGCAGTGTTCAGAGGAGGCCTAAGACGCAGGACCGGGACGGTGAGTCAGAAGCATCTGCTGTAACCCGTGTCTGTCAGGAAGTGCCACAGCTCTGGTTCCTTAGCCCGTCACAGCCCTGTCTCAGGCCGGTTCCAGCATCCCTCTGTGCAGGGAGAAGCCCAGCACTGGGAGGGATATTTGGGCCACACCACGATCGCAAATCCTCTGCTGAAATGAAAGGTCAGAGCAGAAAGCCTGGCACAAAAGTACACATGGCTCAAGGGCTTTTGTTTTGCTGACAAAATTTTGTTGTGCCTGTGAGTTGACTTTCAGGCCCGTGAGTTGACTTTCAGGCCCGGCTGTTTTGAAAAGTGAAAGCATTGTTGAATGCATGTTTTGTTTCCGTGGCGGGAAGTCAACATGATTTTATAGCACACATTAAAATACTTGAGTGAAATCATGATTTCTTCTGTTTTTCTGCTGCAGGTTCCTTGCGTTGACTCCATGGAGAGTATATCACCTGATTTCCGTCATGATACTTGGGCGTGTTATTATGCAGATAATAAAGGATATGGTTTTGTCTAGAACGAGAGGTAAGAAAGCTCAGGTTTCATTTTTATGGTTTTCAGTTTCCTAGACTTTGAATTTCTGAACTTTGTGTAGGCACATTAACTAGTTTTTTCTTTGGTTAGTAGCACAGTAATTGATGACGTAGGCACTGACTTTGCTTTTCTCAGTAGAATAATTAGACTATATGGTCTCTAGTCATAGCTGTTGCTCCTGGGAAGAACGTTTATGTGTGCTGCTTTCTCTCTTGTCTTTAAGTTCTGTTTTAAATACCGTTTTGATATTTAAGTAGGCTGCAGTGAGGATAACAGTTAAATATTTATTACATCCCACATGATGAAACTGGGCCACTGGAAAATGGACCAGTTTATATAAAAATTTCCTCTGCTTCAGTGAAGGAAAACAGATAATTCAGGGTTTAAAAACAAATGATGGCCAAACAAATTTTTAAAGATAAATTGATGATGATTAAAAATGAATTAATTTTAACCACTGTTCGAAAGTGAGAACTTGAATTATTTTTTTAAATTTATCCAAGTTTTTTTTAAGTATTTTAACTATATTAGAAATCTGAGTCAAGTTTTTCCATATGTAGAGGGGCCTTTTCTACCATGTTTGACCTAGTTTTTGTAAATGGTAAGAACCCCCCCCCCTGGAATAATTGAGACCCATGAACCTTAATGTTGTAAGAGAAATCTGATCAAAAATAGCCAAGAGGAGGTTGCAATGGGGAATTTAATCTCAGCACTTGTATCCCAAGTGGAGGGATAATTTTGGTTGAAGTCTGTCTGGACTGATGTGCATAAGAAGAGGCTGGCATTCCTGCCTGGGTGGGAAAACAGGCCCACTTTGTAGGAGGTGGCTGTCTCCTCCCTCCCTAACATGAGCTGGAGTCCAGGGTTTAAGCTGTTGCAGATTTATCACCATGATATCTTGTGGCTCTTCTTTAAATCTGGTTTTTATTTTAAGCTTTCACAGTTTTCCAGCTAAATCATGGTATAAACCATTTCCAGAAAGATTGCTTTGAATTACTGTGTTTCCAGGTTTGAAGCTAATTCTGTCATGACAATGTTCCGGCAAGGTGAACACATTTGTTTTCGTGTGATTTGTGTTTTCCTTGAATCTACAGATTAGATTGTGTTCTTGCATGCACCCTTCCTTCTCTCCCTCTCTTCTCCTCTTTACCTTCCTATTCTCTGTTTCAGAGAACAGACACTTGACTCCCTCACTTTTCACCTTGAAGGAACTTGGTATGATCCTGGTTGTTTAAGTCTTAAGACTTTATGACTGGAGGCTGGCAGTGCATGAGGCTTTTGTGCAAGTGTTGCTTGGATTGGTCCATGATGGTCCCCCATATTGCTTGCTTGGTTTGTAAGTGAGAGAAGAGAGCCTGTGTTTCTCGAAAGAGCTTTGTGACATCTTCATTCCCTAGGCCCTCCCTCAGAGGGATCCCAGAAGACAGCCGTTTACAAGTGCTATAGCAGCCACTTCAGTTTGGTGGAACAGGTTGACTCCCAAATCAAGCAGGGTGTCTTGAGATTTTCAGTTGTGTGTCAGATTTGGCTGTAGTCTGGCATACAACTTATAAAATTCAGACAAATGTGGAAAGCCCAGGCCAGGTGTGAAAAATTTGATTTCTGTGGGAGGGGCCAAGCGTGAGAAAAGAACAATTGTCAAGACTTTCCACTTAATGTCTCTGGACCTGCAAAGGCCTTCAGCTTTGGGGAGTTTCACTCCTTGGCTTCATAGTCATAGGAATGAGGGTGTTTTATGTTCACAGACTGCCAAGATTCAGGCCTTTAAAAAATTAAGGTTGTGGAGTTGAAAGATCATTGGCCTAAGTGGTCTAATTCTTCCTGAGCAGGTTTGCTCCCTTTTCTTGTGGTGAGGAGCCACAGAGTAGAGTGTGTTAGTCAGTAGAGTGTGGCTGCAGCAAATGGCCAGAGACTTGGTGGCATGGAACAGGAGACAGTTCTCTCATGGTTCTGGAAGCCATTAGCCCACTGGGCCATGGTCAAGGTGTGGACAGGGAGCCACTCCCTCTGGAGGCTCTGATGAAGGATTTGCTGCCCGCCTCTCCAGCGTCTGGTGACTGCAGGTGTTCCTAGGCTGTGGCTGCATCACTGCAGTCCCTGCCTTTGTGCTTGCATTACCTCCCCTTTGTCTTTGTCAAATCCCTTTCTGTCTCCCTCTTAGAAGGATCCTGTGATTGATTGCCTTTTGGGCCCATCTGGATAATTCAGGATAATGTCCTCATCTCACTTCCTTAACCAACCCACACCTGCAAAGACCCCTTTTCCATATGAAGTAATGTTCCCAGGTTCCAGAGTTAAGACTTGGGACCCTGGAAAGCTATTTTGTCTGCTCTACCATCTGAGCTTCTTTATGCACAAAAGTGGGAGAAACCATCCTCACAACCCAGGATTGTACAGGGTCAAATGAAAGCATAAGAAAGAAGTGTCTTTGGCATAGTGACAGCCCCCTCTGTTCAACTGACAGAAAATCGGGTCAGCATGAGGTTTGTTCACTCAGTGGTCAAGCTGCATTGAGTACCTCTCTGTGCCAATGGTGTTGAATGGTGTTGTAGTGCTTCCAGTGGGGATCCAGACACGCAAGCCTCTGTAGCCAAGTGGAGCCCTCACACTGGACCCCCTAGGGCAGGACTGTGTCACAGGCCATCCTTTCTCTCGGGGTGACATTGCTCTGAATACGGTGTTGCTACTGCTTGAGAAAAACAGGAGAAATGGGATTCATTACCCTGCTTTCCCAGAGCTCCCTTGTGCATGACTGAAGAAATACTGCTGTGTGCTTGGTCCTCTGGTCTTAAGTCTTTTGGACAGAGACCCACTTGAATGTGGGAATAGTTGGCAGGAGCCTGACTCTGGGACCTTTTAGTGAAAGGAGCTACGGCAGCAAACTAGTCCCAGGAAGGCACAGATTTAGCTTCAAGTTAGATCCTGATGCAATTATGGTGACTCCGTGGCTGCAATCAGCTAATAGCCACCACAGTGGCAACCACCAGAAAAGGATGGTGAAGTCATCCGGGGCTTACTGGGTGGCTCTGCTTCCTTCCCACATTTTTGGCTAAATATATTAAACCTAGATTATTAAGAATTTAATTGTACCTCTGCCCCCAGTTATCCTGCTTGTTTTAAACTTTCGTAGCTCCCAAACTGCAGCCCTGCACCCACTGAAAGTAAGTCCCTCTGCCCCTTCCTGCAGCCCCTCCAACAACCATTCTACATCTGAGAGTTTGACTACTCTCAATTATCTGTGATACCATCTTAGATGCTTCCTATGAAATAGATGGCAAATAACTAAAATGCAGAGTACTATCTTGTGAATTACTTTGTGAAACCCACGGGAGCCCTTGTGTGTATTTGGTGAGTCTCTGGTCTGAGCTACGCTAGCTTTGAAAGATTTCCTCTCCCTTATCGTTGGGTGTCTCGAGTGTTTCCCTGCATTAACTCCTTTGGGGAATTCTTCTATAGAAAACTCCTCTTGCATCCCTCAACTTGTCCTTGACCACCTTTTCCTTCTCTGATCCTTCACTACTACCCTGTGAATAGTAGGAGGGCTCAGCAGGTGTCTCTGCTGTGAATCCGCACTGTCCTTATGCCACGTTCTGTGCGGTCAGGTTGCTGTTGAAGATGGGATCCATAGGGATTGTAGCACATGGACTCTAGTCCTTTAGGCACCCTCCTTGTATCGTTACAGCTTGGCTTTCTGGTGGCCTGGATTCTGTTGTCTCCCAGGTAGCTTCATCTTTGACCTTAGCCTTTGGAAGTGCTGTGCAAAGCCTGAAAGTCAATTCTTAGGGCGTTCTTTGTGTATCTCCCCTTGACCCCTGCTCCTGTTGAGCGAGATCTTTTGTGGCTATTGGTTTGACTCATCTTCAGCTTGGCCTCTTGTCATTTGCACATTCCCAGCTCCAATGTTGCTCTGACTCTCCACCCTATATGTGGCCCTGTCCTGGTCTTTGCTCAGAGATTAAGGAGATGCTGTCCTCACCATTTGAAACGTCCTTGTTCTCTTCTCCATCAACCATAGTCATTCCTCCAATTTCTAATAATCAAGTAAGCAAGCAAACATATGTTCCGTACTGTTCTACCTTCTTTTTATTCTTGGCCTCAGTGTTGTTAGAAAAATGTTATATGGTCAGCTAAGGCAGCCAGGCGGGCCTTGACGGCGTCTTCACTGAAGCACAGGCCCCGCGCTCAATGAGGGAGTTGCCCATGTTGATGACGCCGGGGATACAAGTGGAAAGAACGGGTCATCAAAGAAGGAGGTACCTTTCTCTGAAGGGAGGAGAGAACTTCCACTTTGACCATGGCCTTGTCTAAATATGATCAGAGTCGGTGAACTCAGGAGGCTTCCATAGCCTTGGCAGCTCATGACAAGAGCCTAGGGTGATTACTGATGCCATAAACAAGAGTGTCAATTTGTTAAGTCAACAACAGGAGTCACTGTGCACTTACTCCTCATGTAGAATCTTTGTCCTTAGTGTGCTGTACATTGAGATTTAATGCTATAACTAGTACTCAAACAGTATTTTTCACTTTATGTTTCTGTGTGGGACCAAACTGCTGAAATCTTTACTTAATGTATGCTAAACTGATCTTCTGTATATAAAGAGAATTGAAAATGAATCTTGATGTGAATGGAAGGGGAGAGGGAGTGGGAAAGGGGAGGGTTGTGGGTGGGAGGGACATTATGGGGGGGAAGCCATTGTAATCCATATTCTGTACTTTGGAAATTTATATTCATTAAATAAAAGTTAAAAAAAAAAGAAATGAAATGAAAAAAAGGAAAAATGTTATATGACAAGGGGAGTAAATGTTTTTAAAATGTTGTCCATCCAGTTTCCCAACTTGAGTTGATACCTCACTATTATTCACAACTTCATGGGTCCTTTTGAGTTGTTTTCTTTTTATATGCCACCCAACTCCCAAATTTTGAAGGAGCTTATAAGGAACATAAAACACAATACTGTGAAAGAGGACTAATAGAGGAACAGAAGACTGATATAATAACTATGATTGAACAAAAGATTTATCCACTTGCTTACTGGCAACCAAGGTATAAGAGGAAACTAGATTAATTGCACAATTCGAATTATCTGAAAAATACAAAGAAACAATTTTGAGAAGGTATGTCCTGGAAGTAAATGTTAAAAATATTTATCACATGGATTTTGGGATATTAACGAACATAAGGAAGATCTCTTTGGCCTTTTGTTGAAGACCTTTGGCGTTTTGTTTGATGGAACATTTTGTCATGATCATTAATCATATTGAACTTTGTTAAAGTTGGGAATCTTATATCAAGACACGATCCAATGAAGGTGGTCACTGGAGAATTAGAAAGTCGAAGAGATCTAGGTATATATAGATTGTCTGTGGACTTCACTTGAGCCTGGATAGAAGCTGAAAACATCTAAAGAGTAGATAATAATCTTCTTTCTCAAGTAGGTTGTCTTAGTTTTTATTTTGTCAGCTTCAAGTCAAGCCTCATCTCACATGCCACATCTATTATTGGCACTTTGTTGAGCAGCTACATTTTCTCTGTCCATGAACAACTACTTCTTTAAAAAAAAAAAAAAAGATGTATTTATTTATTTGAAAGTCAGAGTTACAGATGGAGGGAGGGACACGGGGAGAAATTCACTCCCCAGATGGCCGCAATGGCTGGAGCTGGGCCGATCTGAAGCCAGGAGTCAGGAGCTTTTTCCTCGTCTCCCACAAGGGTGCAGGGGCCCAAGCACTTTGGCCATCTTCCATTGCTTTCCCAGACCATAAGCAGAGAGATGGATCAGAAGAGGAGCAACTGGCACTCAACAGGTGCCCATATGGGATGTCGGTGCCACAGGTGGAGGCTTAACCTACTACGCCACAGCGCCTGCCCCAGATTTCTACTTCTTAGAGAGTTCCTGTACTACCTACCTGAGTCCATATTTACTCAAGTGCATATTTTGTTCACCCTGCTCGACAGTAAAATCCCCAAGGCATGTATTCTAGAGCATTCCATTTCACGTGATGTGTGTTCAAGTGCTTTGCATGTGGTAGATTCTCAAAGTATTTGTAGACTAATTGTCCAAAGTATGCATTGTGTGACTTTTAATCCTAGTGTTCAAAGTTCTAAGCATTCCATATGAAAGAGAATGTTTAGAAGTTGAGAAACCTCAGGAGAACAATACCTGGTTAAGCCTCACATTTTCCTTCTCCCTCTTGCAGGTGCACAGTTGTGGAGAAGCCTCAGTGAAAGGTAGGGAACTTTCTTTCAATGTGGCTAATGATGGGCGGGGGGTGGCAGGTGACTCAGCCTCCAGAATGTTTCTCTGAGATAATATGTTGGTGACAAGGACCTGAATCCTTTAGTAACTTAATAATAAGAGTGGCAAAGTAAAGAAAAGCGTGGTCAAACTGAGGACAAGGATAAAATTGTGGCTCCTTCTAGGAGATGGTTTGTCTTATACTGTAGTATTGGGCAACGTGTGTTTGTGAGAGTCACCATGTGTGAAGGTGTGGAAGTGAAGAGAGGGAGGTGTTTTCGTTTGGGGTTTCCTTTCAAATTTCACTTTTGGGGAGCTGTCTTGGGAGAACAGTGCCTCAATGAGTTGTAGCACTCAGTGGAATGTTGTGAAGGGTGAGCCTTGCATTCATTAGAGGACTTCAGAGTGTGGGGAGACAATGAGGAGGGGCTAAGAGACTCCTTAAGAGTGAGGATGTGGCAGATGTTGACTCCCTGCTGACTTCTTGTCCAGCCAGAGCAAACATCAGCTCCGGTTTCATTTAGCCTCATCCATCCTGCTGTAGAGGAGCTGTTTCGAAGGGGAGGGGAAAGAGCTGAGGTGGTTACCAGGGGAACATGATTCACTTCACCACTGAGCATATGGGAGATGGAAAAATGAAGAAAGTATGAGGATTCATATTCCCCTAACATGAATTTTTTGCAGGAATTGAGTTTTGAAAATTATTTTCATTACTTTATAAAGGATGGTTGGGGTGCCTGATATATCAAAGTGGACATCAGGAAATGAATGCATGGGAAGGAAGTCAAACGGATGCCATGAAAGTCCTATGAGAAAAAGCACTCTTCCCCGCCCTGTCCGCAATTTGCTTTCATTAGCATCTTACATACTGTGGTACATTTGTTGTAATTAAAGAAGCAATGCCTGGTATTTTTATGAACTGAGGTCCACACTTTATTCCCTTGTTTCTTCGTTTCTTACCCAATATCAGTTTTCTGCTCCAGGACCCCTTAGGATGCACATGGCATTTAGCGGTCAGGTCAACTTAGGCCCCTCTTAGTGGAGACAGTTTTCCAGGCCTCCTTTGGTTTTGTTGACCTTGATGCTTTGGAGGTGTGCTCACTGTAGGACCACCTATGGAATTTGTCTGCTGTTTTTCTCATGAGTGACCTGAGATTTTGTGTTTCGGGAGGTAGACCACAGAGGTCAAGTGCCATGTTTTGCACCCACTCTTTTTTTTTTTTTAAGATTTTATTTGAGAGTTAGAGTTACAGACAGTGAGAGGGAGAGACAGAGAGAAAGATTTTCCTTCTGTTAGTTCACCCCCCAAATGGCCGCAACAGCCGGCACTGCGCCGATCCGAAGGTAGGAGCCAGGTGCTTCCTCCTGGTCTCCCATGTGGGTGCACCCACTCTTGAGAGTACTTACCACCAAAACAGCTTTGACTGTAGATCCTCATCTCAGTTCCCTGGCTGAGGTAGGATTTGTCGGATTTCTCCAAACTGGTGCCAAAAGAAGACCCGGAGAATCTCTCTGGGAAATCTAATTAAGGTCAGAAGGCTGCTGCTGAGGCCATGGCTGGAGAGAGGGACTGGAGTGTTTGTTGGAGGCATGCAGGCCACTCTGCCATGTGCCTGCCCCTGGCCAGTTTGGGGCCTGTGTTCTGGTCCTGCCTGTTACACATTTGCTGGACCATTTTGGGTCAGTGTCTTAAGCTTTCTTTGCCTGTTTGTTCCTATCTGTCAGCTGAAGAAGTTGAGAATTTCTCTCTGATTGTGAGTTGGGGAAGATGAGACCATGTGTGCTAGTATAATCTCAGAAGCCTTGTAAAAATAGCACTTGGTGCTGTTAGCCTCAGACAGCTTTCAGATTTTGTAATACTTGGTTTGGTCAGATTATCATTTCCTGCTGTGGTTTGAATGTAAATCCTAAAATTCTTGTGTAGGAAACTTAATCCCCAGTGCAATAGCATTGGGTGGTGGGGCCTTAATGGGAGGTGCAACTTACAGGATTTGTGTATGTCTTTCCTATTAATGTCCTTTTGTGTTTTTTTGGGCTTCTGGCACTTTTAGTGTGATTTAATTTACATTGTCTTCTGCAGTTTCCAACATTCATCACATTTAGGTGTGAAATTAAAATATTTGCTCCTGGAATTTTTTTCATGATGACTTGGTGTGTTGTGTACAGTGTTCCTTAGCAATGAGTAGGGCCTGTATTTTGGTGGTGAAAAATCAAAACACACCTTCAGGATAAAGGACTGATAAGCAGATCTTTAGAGGCAGAGAGAAGCACTGTTTTGCTCAGGGGAGCCATGTGGAGTTAGGGTCTTTCCTCTCCCAGGCTCCCAGGTACTAACCCAGAAGCCTCCCTTGGCTACAGGGAGGAGACACCCTGTACTCACTCTGTCCACACAGCCGGGTTCCCAGGTCACTCAGCAAAGGTTAGTGTTTCTTCTTCCAGCATTGTGCTGGATCAGTTTTCCATTTGTGCCTGAGCTTAGAATAAGCCAGGCCTTCCCTCTGTAGGGTTTCAATCAGTTCATGTAGGGAGCATCCAGAGCCTTAATTTTGAGGTTAAAAGGGGGCTCCAGTAGTGGACCACTCCTCACTCCTAATGCTCCTGAAAAGCTTTTCAGTGGAGAGGCGTCTCCCTTCTTCCTCCTCTGCAGTCCCAACGGCCCCTTCCTTCACAGATTCCTATTTGCTCTTTGGGAAAGTTCACATTTGTCAGCTAAACTGAGCTTAAAGTGTTTCATTTGAGAAGTAGCGTGAAGGTGATGGCATATATGGCTCCTCTTGTGTGTGTGTATAGTTCCTCTGGATATGTAGAGAGCGTTCAGAAAAGCTCATGAATGTTATACTGAACAAGTGTGTAATGATAACAAAGGTCTGATTCCCAGTGGTGTCATTAACAGTAAGAATTAGATCATCTTCATTAGGTATTGGTACCTGGAAAACTCATTGGCGAAAGGCTGTTTCTCAGTGGGTGTGTTCCAAAAAGGGCTCATGCTTGGCCCATTTATTTAATAATCACTAACTGTACAATAACTAACTGTACAATAGGTGAATCGGATTTATACAGAACTGTCTAGCAACAGAGCCAACTTAACATTGTCAATGGTCTGTTCCTAGTACTGAATTGAAACCTGACCCCAGGAATAATAATAGCTTTCTATTTCTGCACCCAATTGTGGAGGCTGATTGCATAAAACCCTCTGATATCACTAAGAAAGTACACACATTTCCTTTTTCTGTGTGCACAGCACCTTTGAAAAACATTACATCATTTTCAATTTGACCATGTTCTAAGCAAGTATAAATTATAAAGAAATATCTTTACTTACATATAATAATCATTAAAAACTTTTTCTTTACAATTTTGTAGGATTTATTTATTTGAAAGGAAGAGAGAGAGAGAGAGAGAGAGAGAGAGAGAGAGATAGATCTTCCATCTGCTGATTCACTTTCCAAATGGCAACAATATTTAGGGATGGGCCAGACAAATCCAGGAACAAGGAACTCCATTCTCCCATGTGGGTGGCAGGGGCCCAAACACTTGGTCTGTCTTCTGTTTTCCCAGGTACTTTAGCAAAGAACTGGATTGGAAGCCCAGCAGCTGGAACAGTGGCGCTCTTATGGGATGCCAGTGTCGCAGGTGGTAGCTTAACTCACTGCACCATGACACCAGCTCCTAAATTATTTTTAACCCAGAATATCTGTTGCATGTCTAATCTTTGAAATTCTTTTTTTTTTTTTTTTGATTGGCAGAGTTAGAGACAGAGAGAAAGGTCTTCCTTCCCTTGGTTCACCCCCCAAATGGCCGCTATTGATGGTGCGCTGCACCAATCCGAAGCCAGGAGCCAGGTGCTTCCTCCTGGTCTCCCATGGGGTGCAGGGGCCCAGGCACTTGGGCCATCCTCCACTGCACTCCTGGGCCACAGCAGAGAGCTGGACTGGAAGAGGAGCAACCGGGACCGAATGCGGCACCCCAACCGGGACTAGAACCCGGGGTGCCGGCGCCGCAGGTGGAGGATTAGCCTAGTGAGCCACAGTGCTGGCCTAATCTTTGAAATTCTTTTAAGGTTTTATTTATTTGAGAGGCAGAAAGAGAGAGCATGAGAACTCCCATCTGTGGATTCACTTCCAAATGCCCATAGTGGCCAGGAGACTGAACCTGGGAGCCAAGAACTCCACGTAGATCACCCCTATGTAGATCTCCCATGTGGGTGGCAGGCCACCATCGCTGGAGGCATCACTGCTGCTTCCCAGGGTCTGCGTTAACAAGAAGTTGGAGTCAGGAGCTGGAGCAGGGTATCAAATCCAGCTACTCTGCTGTGAGTGGGCCTCTTAACTAGTGGGTTAATTGCTAGGTCGAGTCCATTCCTCAAATTTATTTTCCCAGTTCTTTAACGGTCTTTACATTTTAACCCCAGGAAGGGGTTGTTCTCATCATTACTCTCACTTTATTATTAGAGAACACAATTTTTTTTTTTTGCCATGATAACTAAAATATTTGAAATTGGAACATTACAGCTGACAGCTGTGGGGTGGTCCGACTGAGACTGCAGCTTTTAAAAGCTCCTAGCAGTGAGCTGTCCACGGGAAGTGGCTGCTTGGGCCTTGCATTTGACTGGCACCTTACACTGAACTCACTCCTGAGAGACGGAACCTGGAGTCTGTAGAGTCAGTCTTTCTGGAGCCAGCAGGGATTGGCAGGAGAGTCACGGGCATTCTGCCTCTAGTTTGGTCACATCAAGGGAGTCGCTCTCAGTCTGTCTCTCCCTCTCTCACACCCACTCTGATCAGAAGCAGTTGTGTGGTCCCAAATCCTGGGATGAAATGCCCCTTTGTTTTCTGGGCTCCTAGATAACTGCTAGTTCAAGCCTTCTTGCTGGCTGTGTTTTCTTCAAGGTTGGGGGAAGTGGGTGGAAAGTAGGAGTAGAAAGAGGAGCCAAGGTTCTTGGTTGGTTGTAAAAGCCATGCCCTGATGTTGAGGGACTTCCTGGGCCCAGAAT